ACAGAGCAAGAAGTAGTAAAAGTAGTATAAAAGTAAGGAGTATTTTTATAAAGTTTAGGAGAGGAACTTTAATATGAAATATTAACAAACGATCAGAACAAAGTCAAGATTTCAGCCTGACTATTTTTCACACAGGATGAACTGCACCTGACCATTTTGCCTTTTTAAAGCATCTTGATTCAGAAGCAACTTGTGGTATAGCGTAGAGTTTATGACTGAGTCTGTTGCCAATGGATTTTTTTTTTTTTAAGGTTGTGAACATACACCGTCAAGTTAACTCTCAATCTGATTTCCACTAGACAGATGGGAACCTGCAGGAAAGACTGAGTGGGTGTTAACCGCGAATAAAGATGACACATTTTACTCTGTAACATGAATTGTGAAACTCATCATTGCTGTCAAACTTTTTTTTTTTTTTTTCCAAAGAAACAACACTTATTGTCCTTACGCTGCCATCTTTTTTTTATATATAACTGCAGCCTACAGTGTGGCACAATTTAGTGGCATAATGTCAGGCTTTCCACATAGAGTGGGTGGAATTACTTAATGCTGTCAAGTCCTGATATCATACTGATACTGTGATCCTATAATCTCTGGATAGCAAAAAAGCTAAATGAGAAAGTGAGATATCCTGATATCTTCAGCGCCACAGGACGACGGCAAGAAGAAAGGGAAGGTGTTTCATTACCACAGGGGTGCCGCACTGCGCTGCTGTGCAGAAGCTTGGCGAGGTTGCTTATTCTCAGTGGTTTATATCTTCTTAAAAGGGAGAGATTATTTGAATCCCTGGGGACAACATTCTCAGCTTGAAACAGCTTCATCCAGGCCACAGCTGGCAGTTTAGCAGTATTAATATAGCAGCAAGGAGATACTATGTGAGGTTAATTGGCACATAGCAGCAAGTGGTCAACTCTAGAGGGAAAGAAAGGCTGCTTTTCTTTTAAGAAGGTGTTGGTTTTGATTGCAGTGTTGATATGATATTAATTTACCATCAGGTGTTTGCAAGAAAATAAAGTATGTGATTAGGCCGTGTTTGTGTTTTGCTGTGATGCAGCATTTGTATGAACAAAAGGCACCGAAGGCGCAGCATGAAAGTCGGGATGTTGGCCTACAAATGTCATATTTTCTGGAGGATTGTTGCATGACAAACTATCACATATTGCAGAAGCTTGTAATTTAGGAGCAATTTCTGGGATACCTGCACACATCAAGCAAAAGTTTTCATAATATTCTGCTCTATTAGTCATTGGAATTGCACACAGTTGCACGGAATACAAAAACTTCTTCAGAGTTCAGCTTCATCAAAGTTCTCCCAGCTGCGGATTGTGAGAAAAAATACAGTCACGTTTGTACTTACTGCTGAGGTTTCATGGTACACATTTCGGAGTTCTCGATCATTAAAAAGCCGAGGCCGTCCTTGTTAGAGTGTGACGTGGGCTTCTGTATTCGTTTCTGTGGTAACGTGTGCTTGTCTGTGCACGTGTGGCTGGGATGTGTATGGCCATTCGGTTGAGTTCAGTCCTGATTAAGCACCTTTAGAAAAAAAAAAGATTCTACACCGGATCATTTGACACCTCAGTGTCCTGAGATGCTGTTCTGAGGGAAGGACTCTCACTCTGCACCGTGTGAAGGATGTGAGGGCAGACAAGTGCAGCGTGGTGCCCAGGTGTCACCGTTTAAGGAAGTGTTATGGAAAAACCACGTGAGCAGATTTTAAGCAACGAGGAAGAGGTTTTCTGGTTACGTGCACGTGTGTGTGCGTGTGTGTGAAGACACTACAATAAGTAAGGTTACCGTAAAAGTCACGCAACATGATCGACTGCCAGTTACAGATGGATTCTGTTGCTTAGGAAAGCCAAGAGAATGAGCATATGACAAAAAAAAAAAAACACTCACCGATGAAGCAAAAAAGCCAGGATTTTAGGAATGCAAGAACATGTACAAAAAAAAAAAAATGCATGTATATATGTTTTTGTGTCCTTGAATTTCAGCTTTGAGCCTCATTCACAACAGCTTATGAGCGTCCTTGCAGTCCAGGGCCAATCTCTAATGTTCAGGCTTTGAGTGACACATCAAAACAAAATAAGTGTGTGAAAGTGTCTTTGGGGCAGTTTGTTCTGTGTCACTGTCCCTCCGAATTGTAAAATGGTTTGTGTTGCAAATTTCTTGTTTTGTATTTCTGTCATTTCAACCTTGATGGACTCGCGTTTGCTTATCATATTTTTTTTTTTTTTTTACTACGGACTTACTGGGCAGCTTGGTAAGCCACATGGCAGGAGCTGAGAACAAAAAGTGATGTTAAAGCCTCAGTAATTAGTCTGTCTCATGCTGCTGCTTGTTTTCTCACAAAAACCATTTCTGGGCGGGGGGCGGGGGGGGGGTGGAATGTGGTTATCTAATCTTATCTACATTTAATTTGTATTTATTTTTAGTTTCATCTTTTTAATCTTTGAACTGAAAGCAGACAGACAAGAAATGGTAAAAAGAAGAAAAAAAGAGAAAAAAAAAAAAAGAAGCAAACCCAAAAGAATTACTCGTGTCCAAGTGGCTGTACATCATCAAACTTTTTGGAGCTGGTTACATTTCCTGACATCATTCACCATGAGCTGCAGGTGAAACGATGCTGTCTGGTGGCCCGGCTCAAGAGGCCTGACGGATGACTTCATAAAAAAAGTGCAGAAGCTGTAGTGGTGTAGAAGAAGAAGAAAAAAAACAGCAGCTTGTTTACTTCCTGGAGAACAGTGCAGCAGTGTGGCGGTAAACCCCAAGGAGTCAGGACTATTGTCTGTTTAAGCAGCATTGACTATTAGATATTTTACTTGCATAACGTGACAATATTCACAAAGTCCCACTCACTGTTCTTCTGAAAGGATTCACTTCACCCTATCAGAAGCAGTTAGTCTGTGCTGCATAAAATCAGTCCTTAATGTGCAATAAACAAAAGTTAATGATGGAGAAAGGGAATAATAAGAGATGCCAAACCTTGAGTGTTTTATTGTTCATGGAAACAGCTTCAGTTTTATTGTAGGCTTTTTGTGTTAATGTGAGGATAGTGCTGTTGTTTTAATGTGAAATGCGACTTTTATGAGCCCTGAGTGCAGGTGTACTGAAATAATAAAGAGTGAAAAGAAGGCAGAAGCTGGTTATTGAGCATCTGCATTTTGTGTTTAAGAGTGCTTTCACCCTCACCTCCCTGCACTTCCTCTATTTACCACATTTAGCTAATAGCCTACAGTATAAGTGCACCTTCATCGTTATAATCCTTTAGAAAGCTGAGTTCTTTCACTGCTGTACTTTACCCTTTTTTTCTTTTTTTTTTAAAGAGCGGATTGCCTTGAAGCAATAAGTGTACACTGCCACGTAACTTTTCTCCGATTTCATTCATTTCTAACTGCTTGTCACCACTGTAGCTAAGATGATGCTTCAAAGAATGCCCAAGCAAACGCACAGGCACGGTGAACAGTTGTCAAACATGATGAAAAAGCCGGTTTGAGACAAGCAGGAGGATTCAGGCGTGTTCCTCCCTGCACATACATGATATATTTTAGCTTCAGACACAGTTCATGTTAAGACTGAACTGCTTAAACTACATTTATTTGATGGAAAAAAAACGGCAGGCTCTCTCTCCAGCCTACAGCCATGGACAAAAACAGAATAACAATGTATTGTATTCATATTTTGGTATTTAAAAAGTGGGAGACCATGAACATGGCAGCTGCTGTTTGTCTACACCGCACAAGCTCTTCACTCCTCTATAATGAAACAAAAACTTTAACCATGACATTGAAAGAGCTGACATTGAAACTTTGCATTCCAGTCTGCATCCAGCTTACATCATGGCAACACAGAGGATCAAGTGTGATCTTGACTTTCAGAGGCTGCTAATGCCCGGGTGTGTGTGTGTGTGTGTGTGTGTGTGTGTGTGTGTGTGTGTGTGTGTGTGTGTGTGTGTGTGTGTGTGTGTGTGTGTGTGTGTGTGTTTAAAGAAAACACTCAGCATGTAGAGAATGCTACTTGGCCTTAATAGGCTGAATCACTCTGTTTCAAGTGAAAAGCAACAAATGTGTTGCACAGCAGAAAATTGATTACGGAACTGTTGGTAGCTGCTTTCAAAAGCCAGGTGCTTTTAGTGAGTTCCTGTGAAATTAAGCATATATTGAACATTATGAAACTCGTGTTTCATAAAGCTCAGTTAACACACACACACACACACACACACACACACTGCAGCACACACATCCTGAGGTAATGGCATTAAAGCTGCAATGATCCCCTGAATAAATCGCTGGCGCTCAGAGAGCCAAATGTTGCATCTTGAAGTCTCCACATGTGACGTTCCTGCAAATATTTGGGATGTTCCTTTAAAAGATGATACGCATATTGAATTATGAGCATGTGCATGACGTCAGAAGGGTTGATGAAATATTTATAGCCAGTAGCCTAAGTGCATATATCTTCACAACTTCATTATGAAAGGGAAAGGTGGGCTATGCATCCAAATCCCATCTGAGGCAAGCAGAACAATCACGCTGGAGAGTTTTCTTTTTTTTTTTTTTTTTTTTTTTTTTTTTTTTTTGTTAGGGACACTGAGGACGCGTTGGACTTTTTTCTTTTCTCTCACAATCGACGCTCAACAAGGAGAAAGGAGGAGGAGGACAGAGATGGCTGGGAAATTCCTGTGGGATTCATTTTAAGACAGTGGCATCAGTAATTGAGCTATACGACTCACTTCAAACTACTTAAGAACAAGTTGTTTAAAGGAGGACTGCCCCGTTTTTCTGCGTGTATCCATATTCTGCTCCAAGTTTTCTCGCACACTTCAGCAGCCTATGAAAAGAAATAATGCGAGTTACGCGCAGTTGATGCCTCCAAGAAGCCACCCCTATTCTCATATGCCAGTCTGACTTTGGAACCTGTATTATTGCCAGACTCCGACCGCAGACCAAAAGAGGAGGAAGACTCCGATGGAAAATCATGCAGCACTTTGAACCCATGGAGACATGGCACATAGGTTCCTCTCATCTACCAACAGATTCAGCGCCAGATTCGCCTTCATATTCACCGTGTCACTGTCTTGCACATATTTATGCTACAGTATCATTTTTTGTCGCAGCACAATCATGACAAACCGGGGTTACGAGGGGAGAAGATGCCCGCCGAGCAAGAACGCAGGGGGGAAGAAACTTCTTGGAAATTCAGACAATTGCGCTTCGCTGGAAGTCAGGTCCGCCCTGGATGAGACCGCCGCACAGCGAGGATCAAGTGATCTCCGCGACCAAACTAAAGCCCCTGCCACGTCTGGAAGTCACTGGACTGACATGAAGTTGAGAAACATGAGTGTTGCGCAAAAATATGGGAATAAGAAGCTGCCTAATGCGTTAATAGTCGGGGTAAAGAAAGGAGGCACCAGGGCGGTGCTGGAGTTCATCCGGATACATCCAGATGTGCGCGCACTCGGAACAGAGCCGCACTTTTTCGACAGAAACTACGACAGAGGGCTGGACTGGTACAGGTGAGGAAAACGTGAAACAAACAGTGGAGTAGTCATTTGTGTTTGTGCTTTTGCTCTAGTGATATTTCTGCATATCGTGTTTTACTTCTGTCACCGAGTGCGGCACAGTCACCCTTCCTGCTCTGGCAGAGGACTCTGGTGAAACGAGGTGCTGATGTGGACACTTCCATGTCAAAACGTTCATTTAACTTGTTTTGTGACACGCGTGAATGCAAGTAAGGTCCCAGAGGCACGTCTCAGTTTTTACTATAACTCAATAGCCAACAATTCATTTTAAGGATTAAGTGGTTGGTACCAAATCTTTTAGAAGGCTGCAACACACTGCACACATGCACACACAGCTAGGTTTCAAGTCAGCACTAAGATCACAGGTTTGATTCTACTTTTGAGTCTGTATGATGTTGTTGTTTTTCTACATGCTGTAGATGTTAGCCGTCAGCAGAGCTCCATGGTCTTGAACAGACAGCTCCATGAGGGTGATGTAGGATCAGTTCACACAGACACAGTCAACGGCACAGATGACACAGGCAGCCCCCAGGTTACTAGCTGCCTTCAAACAGGCTACACCCTGGCACAAAATGTTCTTGCGTTGGTTGGTGGAGGCAAAGGAGCTCACAAGGTGCAACAACTCCCATCCACATCTGTGTCACTCTGTGACGTCTCCAGCAGTTTTTAGTCGAGGCGGCCCCTGTTGAATATAGACAGCTTCTTTATTTAATATTTTCTGTTTTCTAACATATTGAGTATCTCTTAAAACTTCAATTCATTCATTCATAACTAACATTAATCATGAAGCTGTAAGTTCAAGGTTCCTCTCAACAAAAACCCTAGAGATCACTGCCAAACTGCAACGCACACACTTTGAAATACGTTGCACTCAAGTCTGTAAATGTCCTCCAAAAAGGCTCAATGGTATTGTGTTAGATTACATCTGACCATCGGAGCTGCCGGCGAGTATGGCGTAGCAACAGACCATGGCCATGCCATGCCTCCAAGAACATGGAACAAGTGATAAAGTCTATTCTCAGGCTGCACTGCAGGAATGAACAGCAGAGGCTGCAGCAAATTATCATGTATATGAGCACCTGCCCGTCAATTCTCAGCTCATAGTTTGTTCAGGTCTTGTTAGACGTGCATGCTACGAGGTGCTAGCGGCCTGAGTCTGCACATATTTCAATAACTATTAATGCCTTTAATGTGTATGCTGAGACTGAACTGTTTATGGAAGAGTAATATTTCCAGCTACAGTTTCTATATTTGACGTGAGGCAATGATGCACCACATCCCTTCAGCGAAAGCAGAACTATGCTATGTCCCTCAGTCATTAATGGGCTTTAACTATCATCACTGTGCCATTTTGACTCTACTTCTTTCTAGGGCCTCATTTGAGACAACTGAAGTGAAATTTGTGTAGAGTTTGTTCATTTAAAGGTTCCACATTATATAAAGTGAGATGTTCATGTCTTTTTTCATTACAAAGCAGGTCTAGGTTCTATATAAATACTGTGAATGTATCAAAGTGTGCAGTCCTCGGACAAAATGCACACACCCTGTATGCAGAAACTGAGCCTTAAAACGAGCTGTCAGGACTTCCGTAAGCTTGTGATGTCACAACAAAGCAGTCACCACTCTCAACTATGCCTCCAGCACAATCCACCTGGACCCACCATGGTTTCTCTAAGTTTTTACCTGAAATTTGTTATATTTTTATTAGATCATTCAGAAAACAGTTCAGCCAATCAGAAGAGACACTCTGTTGTTGCTAGAGCTCCAGGGAGAAGCTTGAAAAATGAGACGTAAAACTACACTGAGATGGTTTCTGGTACTTAAAACCACAATTATATCTTCTTATGGATATCAACAGTTCAAATAAAACACTGTAAAAGTGTAAAATACTGGACATTTAAATTTGGGACTTAAACATTGAAAATAAATGTGTCTTAACATTAACTGCAAAGAGAGTCTTGTCCTGTCAGACAGTCAATTTCAGAGTTAAAATAAATTTACAAAATAACATAGCAATGCACTGTAGATGATATCAGTATGACAAACAAAGTGTACCCATGAAGATGCAAGACAATTTGCCACACACACACACACACACACACACACACACACGGCTACGGACAGAGAGTGGCTATATGGCAGAGTTATCTCAAAAGAAGCTTCATACTCCTGAAAAGAGAATCAGCCCCTTTCATCTTCAAACTAATGAACCAGAGGCTGTAATATTCTGAAATTGCATTAATGTAAGACACAAAACACTCCAGATCCCCCTGGTTGTAAGTTAAAAAGCAAACACTTCGTTCAATAATTTGCATGTTTATTAAGGTCTCTTTTTTAATTGCAATTCCTGATATTAATCTTAATTTCCTATGTATTATACTTGGTTATTAAGCCTACACTGTTTGCATGCACAGGAAGGAGCTTTTTGCTTCAAACAAAGACGTAAAACTTCCTAAGGGGCTACTTTACAGACAGTTAGTGTTTATTGTTGTGTGTATTTCACAAATTACATTGATTTAAGAAAAACACATCGGCAAACAAAGGTGCTGGTCTTTGTAACAATTAACAGAGGGAGCTGGAAAGCCTGTTAAATACCTCAGCAGATACTTCGGCACATGGAGACATTTAATATGGGCTCAGAGGATGTTCTTTTTCAGTGGTGGAAGGGTTGATTCAATTACCGAAACACATGCACACACAAGGCCGAATGTAGCCACAGTGTGAAGGAGTCAGTTGTGCATATTAATGTTGTAGGTCTTCCTCTATGAACAAGCATTAAGACATCACACTGACAAAAGTTAACCAAATACCCACCAGTTAAACATCTGAACTACAACCGAACGCAGGAGACCGAGCATGCAAAAAGGTGCTAGATGCAGAGGAATTTTTTTAACTGTCGAATCAATCATCAGCGCTTCAGATATCATCCTGCTCCACCAGCACATAGATCTACCATCTTAATGCAGCTTAATGATGCAGTGGCAGCCATTTACTTCATCAGTAAGCAAACTATTAGACCAGAGGTTGGGGCTTTTTACACAAGTTCGATTTTGTTTTCTCTATGTCACTCAAGATTTAAGCAGAGATGAATCGAGGTGCCTCACTGATATGATGCCACGAAAGGAAAGTTACAACACTGGGATATTGCACACTTGTCACAAGCTGACAGTTCATGTATTCAAGATAAACACTTAAACAGTACCTTGGACACAAAGATGGGATTAATTCAGGCTGTAGAATCCATTATTCAACTTGACGAGTGACCGCATGATGTTCATTGTATTAGACTGGCCCTCTGTGATTATCTGTCACAGTGTTTGGGTTGTTGGCAGCACGTCACAAAGTTTCTTTCCATTTTGATTAGCTGTCACATTTGTCTCTATAGCAAGTAACATAATGTATTTTCACGTTCTACATGTGTTTATGTGATTTGTTGCATTGAGCTGCTATTAGCTGTCTTTAATAGCTCAGTTTATATAGACTATCTGTGTATGTCTGTCTATCAATGGGTTTCAAATTACAGTTATTCTTATCATCATAATCGATCAGTTATCTTTGTGATTAATGATTATGATTTTAGTGGCCTTTTTTAAAATGACCTTCATCAAGCAATAAAAACACAACACAAAACATCTTTGTGTTCAGATCACAACCTGCAACAACCAATCAAAAGAGCAGTCTACACAGCCATGCAAAGTGAATGACCAAAAGACGCATCTCAAGATCCTTAAAATACCACAGAAACCTAATAATAATAATCTGCTGATGAATCAATAATGAAAATGAGCGTAAGATAAAATATAGCATCAAGAAATTCTTAATATTTGAGAAGCTGTAAATGTTTATCCAGAACTGGTCAAAAATAAAATGTTGTGACACCTGTAGCCTGGAGTTCTATTAAATTTGGTTCAGATATTCACGATCCCCAGAGGATGAATCATGATGATTTTGTATCATCTAGTGCCACTTTCCACTTCAGTTTCACGACATTACATATCTAAAACAATTCACCTTATTGTCATCAGTCTTAAGTCATAATCTCATATCAGTGCTCTCATTGCATACTAATTAAACACATTAGCATTTTAACTGCTAACATGCTAACATAATGATCCAAATTTGTGCTTGAAGTAATAGTTTGACAAAATAATTGTAATCACCATCACAGCTTTGAGGGGCTAAAATGGTCCATTCACTTTCTGTTGATGTACTATTTCATTTGACAACAAAAGTTCATTATTGACTTTGTTGTAAGTTTGTATGATAAAATACTCTCAACACAAGGTCTGATTGCCAACTTTTTCTGAGCTATCAGCCACATCAAAATGCTTAAAACTCAACATGCTGTTTTCTCTAGAGGAAAAGGCGCTTTTTTCTTGACACATTTCAAAACACCTTGTTTATAGCTAATATCCGTTGACCAGACAGAAACGTACATGACACCAAATTAACTCTTGTCAGTTTCAGTGAAGTGGCCAGTTGTTCAGTCGGCCAGTTGTTCAGTTCTGTTGCACAATCTGTCCTGTTACATTAAGCATGTGACAGATCATTTAGGCCCAGAAGAAAAATGGTGCAGTGTTCATTACTGTGTCTCCTGAACAGAACACACACGTGGCCTCATTTATTTTGCACAAGGGTTTTCACATAACCATACAGGACCTGATACAACAGACGATTCACAGCCACCAATTTCCTTGAACTTTTCTCGCCACGTTTTCGAATCTCCACAGAATCATAAAGATCAAACAAAAACACGTCGCTATACACCATCAGGACTTAAAAGGGCATCTCAGCTCTATTGATTTCACATGAGTCGGAGGCGCTTCCAGTAGATTCCCTGAGAAGTGTTGAAATTGTATGAGAGGCTGCAGCCACGAATATTCTCCAGGTCCACATTAATTGGCTCGGGGAGGCAGGGAGCCCTGGAACAGTATCATCAGAAAGGTTGATGAGGACAGAAAGTTAGATGGTTCTCATTTAACACAGAAAACTGC